GTGTTGTGATTGGCATCACTCGGCGCCTGGTCGGGAAATGTTATGCCCCTTACCATAGCCGCCTGCGAGCTTCAGTGTAAATATTGCGTCAAAATCAAATCAATTTGAGTGCGATTTAAACCCGGATGATTGTAACCACTCTAAGTTCATCTGCCTTGGGAAAGCTAGCGTGTCTCCGACATAGTGATAACACTCGTTGCCTTCTCTAGTGCAGCTCAACCAGGTCTCATCCCATTTGTCGATATTTGTGATATCACAAATCCCGGAAAATATGCGTTGTAGTCCAAACAAGTCGTTCGTTGTAGTTTTTGAAAAGTGATTTCTGTTAAATAAAATATCACCTTTTGAAGTGGACTTTGAGCTTTGTAACTCTGCAGATCTTTTTTATGCTCAAACAGCAACATTACAGACTAACTAAAGTTGAAAAAGTGAAAAAGCATAATAGCACTCCTTTAAAAGCATGTAGACTAACATTTGCATAATGTAATGTAACAAAGGCGCTTCGTTAATCTTGTCGAATTTGAAATAGCTATGCTGTATTTTTATTTGATTCCATTTTTATTGGTTGATTTTGCTGACAGGGTGCAAGAGGTCCACCTGGTCCTGATGGTCAAGCAGGAACCAGAGGGAAAAAAGTAAGTCTGCATATTTACATATTGATACTGGTAACTTTATCATTTTCATATATAAAATACAATTGAATGATAGCAAATGAGACATGCACTTAAATTAAATCAACTCTGAATTCGCACAATAGAAATATATATAAAAAAAGTGTTATCTAAAGACAAGTCACTTTGTGGAAATAATACAAGGGGAACCCACAACTTGTGTTTATCAACCAAGCATACATTTCTTCTAATCAACCTTAGGGACCACAAGGACCAATGGGAGATAAAGGTGACAAAGGAGATGCGGGTGAGAGAGGTCAGAAGGGTCATCGTGGCTTCACTGGACTCCATGGGCTTCCTGGAAGTTCAGTACGTATAATGGACAATATGTCACCTGTCACACAATGCAGTAACTACCTTCTGATAATCATCTGTCAATTATTTCCCTCCAGGGTGCTACAGGGGATGATGGTGCTATAGGAATCATTGGACCAAGTGGGCAAAGAGTGAGCAACAGATTCAAATATCACTCAAATTTGAATTCTCAAAGCACCAGCAATACTCATGCACTTTGAACAGAATTTAATACTGAACATGTCATTATTAGGGACCCCCTGGCCCTGTTGGTCCAGCAGGAAAAGAAGGAGATATGGGTCCACTTGGAGCAGTGGGGGCTCCTGGATCTCGAGGTGCCACTGGTGATATTGGACCTGAGGTCAGGCATGAGATTATGTCTACGATGCATTTTGTGTATGTTATGAGATTGGATCTTCTTGCTGAAACATCTTAAACCAGTCTAATGACGTTTGCTGGTCTAGAGAGGTTTTGGGCATTTTTCACATGTGACCAGCTGAAGTTGTAAGGATGTTTAGATATTTGACTGGAAAACTTGTACACTTTTATGTTTTTTTTAATACCATTTTTAGGGCTCCTGTTGCCAAAACACGTGTATTGTAAGAAAAAGAGCCAGTAACTACTTCAAAAAAAGATCAAATGGGTTTGAAATAACAAGAGAAAAACTTATCGTAATAATAATCAGATTTAGTTACTGTTTAAAACTAGGGCTCGCAACAGAATAAAATACTTATGAATATTTACTAATCTACTCATTATTTATAAGAATATAAATTCACAACGTTAAAAATATTGCATTAAACATTTTATTGCAATAATGTCCTTAACACTTTTGCTGTGAAAACCCTACAAAATATATTTTGGAAAGTCTTAATTTTTTTTCAAATGTTCTGTAAACCACTTTTTGGCCCCGTTTAAAAAAAAAAAACCTTTAAAGTATTTTGTGTGTGTGTGTGTGTGTGTACAATATCATGAAAAAAAGAAAACACTGGAACTGAATGTTACAGGCCTTTAACCACAATATAATTGTAGATGGGTTTAAACACCTTTTTTAACATCCTATTTATGTAATTAACACAGTTATGGAACACCAGCAGGCATTGTGTGAGAAAGTAATCTCCTGCCCATAAACAAAATTTGTAGAAATAATTAGAGTCAGTGCATTAAACACAGTGTTCCTTAGCAGAAATAAAAAAAGAATTGCCTTAATTGGAGGGTAGAAAGCCAGAACCACAGCTAATCAATAAAAAAACGGTTATGCTGTATCTGACAGGAATTACCTGCATGATTCCCGATTCCCATGTCAGGCATAAAACAAATACAGCATCCCACAGTAAGCATGCTTGTACTACCTATACTTGGAAACTGATGGGCGGTCATCTGCCAGTGAGCTGAAACTAAACCTGGATAATGATCCAGATCACTTGAATTAGCCCACACCAAAGATTTAATGACCAATATTCAAAATCCATGAATCCAAATCATATATGTAGAGAAAAAACACACAAGAGTTAGAATCCAGTGTGAGATAGAATAAAAAAGAATGATTTTTATGTCAGTGTATATGTGAGGATCAAGTATAAGTGACGTGACATGTGTGGCCAAGTATGGTGACCCATACTTGAAATTAGTGCTCTGCATTTTAACCCATCCAAAGTGCACACATAAAAAAAAAAAAAAATTTTGGTTTAATATATTAAGAGACATACAATAAAAACCAAAAAATAGATAACACATGTCATGCTTGTAAATCAAAACGTATATCTTGTAAAACCATATCAAAACACCAGAGCACTGTGAAGTGAATCACGAATGAACATGTACAAACCATCTCTGCCGCTGAGAGGTTGGGGGTGGCATTCAGAGTGAAAGGAGAGATGAAGATAACTGAATTATTCAGGATTACAGGGTTTAGAGACACATAAGTGCAAATGACACTTACGGATTCTAATAATCTCATAACAGGTACGATGTCCTCAGAAACGGAAACGTCCATAATCCTCTGGATTATTGAAATCGGAATTAACAATGGTCTATAATATAGTGGGGTGAATGCTGCCAGCCAAATACTGCATACTTTGATCTAATAATATTGTCTGCCAATCATGTTGGCTGCTTCTGCTGTTTGTACGTTTATGACACATTACTGAGAGCATTTCTCTTTCCTGTATCAAGAATTCTGTCATAATCCTACTTCAAAGCATGTGAGCAACAGGTTCACAACTATTTACACCATCGTTTTTAGCATTCAAATTTGCACACTGCGTCCAAGCCAAAATTAAAACTTTATGATACGTGGTACAGTTGTAATAAAGATTGTGCTTCAATCCTATAATGTTTAGTACTTGCAAGGTATTACAAAAATAAAATAGATTTAACAGAATAAAAATAGGGATACATAATATATTATTACCACATCGATTATCTGTCAATATGTTTATCATCACATTGATCATTGACTTCAATATTGCTGCTTATCTAAATGAAAGATTAAAAAAAAACATAAAAGACTAATTATGCTCACCTGCATCTCATCCAGTTTGGACTGGATGTCTGGGGTGAAGACAGCTGGTCCACAAATGAATGGATCGAATGGTTCTGCTCCAAACAGGTCTATATCTACAGCAGAACCAGATGAACAAGTAAATCATCTGTCATTTAGCAAACACTTATATTAAATGTGCAATAGTTCATGATCACCCCTTGCAACTGAAAATGTGTCAAATGTATATATATACAAATTTAAATTAATATATAATTAATGTATACATACAAAAAATCTATCAGTGAAATTCTCAAACGCATACTAACAAATGTCTCCATTCAACATCTATACTCTGGCTTCATTTGTTTTCAACTCCAATGGACCCTTTTATGGAAAAGCACATTACATTAGCAATTATGGATTTTGCCTTCAGGTGCTTGAAAATATAACACATTCATCTAAGTGAGACAGCAGAAATAAAGAGCCCCCACCTCTGTCTTTTTTAGGAGGCAGGTACGGAGATGAGATGCCGTTACAGTTCAATCGTCTTGTTATTGGAGATTCGGGGGTGAATGGAACCATATCAAATATGTCAGTAGAGGGCACTCTAGCTTGTATGCTTCCAGCCTAATAATGTAGATACAAGAGTAAAATGTGTCAAATGCGTCAAAACCAGTCCAAATGTAAGATCAGACTCCATCCGTGTGATACGCATTTAACTGTAAATTCACCGTATAGGCTACATTTTATCACAATGCTTTTCTTTTTTTTAGTAAGAACAAGGTTAAAACAGTAATTCTCAAAAAGTGTGGAGACTTCCCTAGCTATTAAATCTTAACTTTCACAATTTGAATTGACTGCGTTCACTCTTAAAAAAATAAAGGTTCTCAAAGGGTGTTTTTGCAGTGATGCCAAAAGAATAATTTTTGGTTCCCAAAAAAACATTTCCATGAACAGTTCCTAAAATAATTATTTTTTAAGAACATGTTTAAAATCTAAAGAACCTTTTTTGACTATAAAGAAACGTTTCTGCATTTGAAAGGTTCCATGGATGTTCAAGGTTCTTCATAGAACCAATGATGCCAATAAAGAACCTTTATTTTTAAGAGTGTTGACGTGAGAAACAAATGAGGTTTGTGTTCGTTTCTTCTTTTCTTAAAGGGATAGTTCACCTATCCTCATTTACTCACCCTCAAGAGTTCCTTTCTTCCATTGAGCACAAAACAAGATATTTTAAATAATTTTGGTAAGCAAACAGTTGATGGTAGCCAATAACTTTAATAGTATGGGGGAAAATGCTGTGGAAGTCAATGGCTATACTGTCAACTGTTTGGTTACCAACATTTTTCAGAATATTTTTGTGTTCAACAGAAGAAAATACAGATTTGGAACAAGCAGAGGTTGAGTAAATGTTTGAGTAACTTTAATTTGTGGGTGAAAGTATGGCGTACACTGCAGTTATGTAAGCAAACAACATTATACTATGCATGCCAGAATGAAATGGATGAGGAAACAATTTTCACTTTAATTATAATTGGTTATCAAATGAACTTGGAACTAAGTCTTAGAATAATGCACATCATATGGACTACTTTTACTGTAATTGTATGTGCTTTTAAGAGCTTGATAGTTACAATCACCATCTTTTCATAAATGAAAACACTGGGTTTGGAGAAATATGAAGGTGAGTAAATATCAGTAATTTTAAAAAAATTATTATTTTAGCCCAACTTTTCCTTTTATATTGCACCTGCAAAGCAGTATTACTTATTAATCTACTTTAAACATATTTATCAAATTCCTTGCTACACAGAAAATAACAGAATAATGTAGGCCTACATATAAAAAGTTAGCCACACTTCATTTTAAGGTCCAATTCTCGGCCATAAACAAACCATTAACTTCAAATTTTGCCTCAATAAACTACTAATTTTCTGCATATTAACACTTAGTAAGGTAGTTGTTTAAATCAGGTATTGGGGATTAGGGATGTAGAATATGGTCATGCAGAATATGTGCTTAATAAGCACTAACAAACAGCCAATATGGTAATAATAGGTATGCTAATAAGCAACTAGTTAATAGTGAGAATTGGTCCATATACTAAAGTGTTTCCAAAGTTACATACAAACTATTTTTTGTCATTCAAAACTATTTTTTGTTAGAAACATAAAACCAAACTTCTAATATTATAAGAAGTTTTTGTAGTTGTAGCTTACTGCTTTAATTAAATTAATAAATGTACATTTATATACATTTGATTGTTTAATACTGAATATGGGATGGGGCTGCCAAAGTTTTTGACTATCAAAAGGAGGTGTCACCAAAACATTTGAGAACCACTGCGTAGACAATAGTTCACCTATGGTTTGTTCTGAACAGAGCTATCCTATGGTTTCAGAGAAGACTAAATAATATTGCATGAATCATATGAACCACTTTTATGGTATCTTTACGGTGATTTTTGTTCTCATTTTCTTTCCTAATACGGAAAAGTGCAGTCTGGAGATTCTGCAAAATAACTTTTTTTGGGGTGAACTATCCCTTGTTTGAAGTATGAAGTGTATTTTTTTGCATACGAGACATTTACACGAGGTCGTGGCACGATGTAACCACTTGTGGGCTGTGAGTGGGTGGGCTTAGCAGGAGGCTGGGTGAGCAAGCTTGCTGATTGGCTGGAATCGGGTGAGCTGACAGGCGTTAGAGTGACAGAGGAGATCTCTAGGCTGGACAGTGATGTGACATCATCACCACACCAGGACAAGGCAGACGGCTTCTGCAAAATGTACGGCTCATTAGAGACATTAACATGCAGGTGCTGAAGAAGGGCACTGGGGGTTGGGGAGAGAGACGGAGAGAGAGAGAAAGATAGATTGGAATGGAGAAAAAGGGAAAAACAAATGGCGAAGTAGATAGAAGAGAAAAACAAACACATTTTGATGAACTGAAAGAGAACAGAATCATTGAGATTGGCAGGAAAGAGCAGCATTGGACTGAAATGATAAGCAAGTCTCATTTCCTACTGAACGTACTGGCGAGCAGCGAGAATCCATCATCTGATCCTCCAGCTCCTTAAGCTTCTTCTTCAGTTTTGAGTTCTCCATCTCCAAATCCTGAATCTTCAATTAACATAAGCACATTGCACAAAAACATTCACATTTTCATTTGTCAATCACGTGAAAACATTCCACAAACGTCTTTGGGATACGGGACGCCCCCGCAGCGTGCTCACGGGATTATGAGCCAGTGAATTTCTGGTTACATTTGCCTATCTATACTCGTATTTACACTTCAAAGGAAGCTGAGTTTTAAGCGGCATACAGTATAATTTATGAAAAGGAGCATTTATGCAGACATTGTAATGCGGCATACAGTAAATGTTTTTACACTGGAATCAGAATTGGGGGAGAGCTAAATCTCTGATTCTTCTGCACAGCCGTCAAAAAGACTGAAAGCAGCAAAGTTCCCGTTGTGTTTCATTTATCCTGAAAAAGTAATAATGGTTGGTATGGGCCTCTTTCCCACGTTCATATTTTCAGTATTTACTAATGCCATGCGGATTCACAGATTGACATTAGCAAAGTTTGTAGTACACAAGACTCAAACTTGTTAGATGAAAGCTATTTATTGACAACAACCCAAATAATAAGTTCTTCCCCCTTTCTAAACCCTTGTGTGCACCAGTTTACAAAAAGTTTGCTCCCCATATCTCCCCAAGCACTGTCACATCCATATTTTCCATTGTTGTTCTTATTGTTCCCCCATACTATACAAATCACTTAAAAACAACCGCAAGCTTTCCTCCATGTTGTTGTTTGCTGACATGCTTCCAAGAATCAACTCTCAAACTGATGGGTGTTTCTTCAACTTCAGGCACTTTTTTGTCTCAGGGGTTGATTTTTATAAAAACTAACAGCTTTTAACTTGAAGATGATATTAAAACAGCCTTGGAAACTTTACTTCATCATTTACTTTTGCTACTTTTAAATAACTTTTATGTATATGTTATATAATTTTACCCTTGTCCCAGACCCACATTCTAACTTTAACTATTAAAATTCCCAAATACAAAAAATAATTATTAAATGTGAAATATTTTATTAAAAGTTAAAAACACACTAACAATTTCAGTATTTATTGTGTGAAAATGACATTAAAAAAGACCCACAATTCTAATCACAAAAATATAGCCTCTAATGAAGTACTTGGTTACCAGAGACAGCATGTTAGAGATTAAATAATATTTGAAGAAAACACAAAAGTCAAGGTAAATATCAAGAATATTTTTTACTATAAATTAGACAAATTATGCAAAAAGTTTGAAAATATAAAAGCGTATTCATGATATACATACTGTATAATACTTGCTGTGAAAATAACCTTAACAATAGTGCTGGGCGGTATACCGGTTCCTTCCCGAATACCGGTGTTTATTTTTGTTATGATATGAATTTTTAAAATACAGCAGTTCAGTATGTCGCTTAAACAACGTTCGGAACACGACACTGTTTGAAAGGGGTACCTTTTCACTGTTGCACTGTGGTGAGGGAACAGCTGTATGTGTTACTAAGCGTGAAAGTTCTGAAACTGAAGCTGTAGAACTAATAGAACGTGATGACACAGAAGAACTCATCCACAATATCTACATTGACCGCCACAAATATCCACCGCCCCCTGGCATCAGCTCCCGCGTTTCACACACGAGCGTGACTTTAGCACTAGATTTAGCAACTTTCAGACCCTTTTAGCGGCTTTTTTCCATAGAATATTCATACTGACAAACCTAGCGACTTTTTTGGATAAACCTTAGCTATGGTTCTGTTGGAAGATTTCGCCAGTGCTGTCCCGCGAACGCGAGGTCTGACTTTCCCGGAGAAGTGTCACCTCTCTCGGCGTCTGTTCTGTGCAGTGAGCGGCAGAGACGCAGCGCATTCAGTTGGCTGCACCGCAGCCGACTCGTCAATAAAGAAGTACAAAACAGCGTTTCCAAGCACATGTCGCTTACTGATTGTTGGGAATTATAGTCTTACTCGTTTCTGAAGGTTTCCAATCTGTTTTCTCGTCTCTACATCTTTTCCACCAGACTCTAGGAACTTTTTGTAGGCGAGATCAAAGGCTTGTCCGATAGCAAGAGTGATCTCCTCCGCCTGGGTGAGATTTGCACACACTGCTATCATTAAGCAAATCAGGTTTCTTGTGTATGTAACTTTTGTTAGATATTACAAGCGTATTTACTTACACATTTTTCACTGTCAAACACGTAACACAGGTGTTTCTTCGTCTCGGGTTCTGTGCAGATAAAGGTGAAGATTCTTTTATCTGTTTTGTCATCTGCACAGAAGGACATTCTGTGAAGTTGGCAGTTATGCTGCATCTCCTGGAACAGGAAAGAGAGTTGAACTCAGATGAAAAGCTCACTGGTATGACTGACCTATTTTGAGGCAAAAAGCAACAAATCGAAAACAGCCTAGAGGAAAATTTTATTGCTTAGTGGTTTATATTTTTAAGTGTCTTGGGAGAATGAACTGTGTTCTCACATATGTTTCAACAATTAAGTTTATTTAACTTTTTCAGATGTTTCTCCAAAAATAACAGGAAATATTTGATACAATTTTTGACATGAGCTTATGCATAAGAGGTGCTTATTTATATTGTTTTAAAAAGTGGTAGGGATGGGGGAGCGATAATTATGAACTCATTACATAGAGACTTGCTGACCGATTCGTTTAATGCGACCTAAAATAACATGTTGTTTTAAAGGAAAACTTCACACAAACATTAAAAATAGCTGAAAATATACTCACCCTCAGGCCAGCCAAGATGTAGATGTTTGTTTCTTCAACATAACAGATTTGGAGAAATGCCGCATTATATCACTTCCTCACCAATGGATCTTCTGCAGTGAATGGGTGCCGTCGCAGTTTCATTTCATTATTAAGACATTTTTAAGTTCAGACGTTTTACGAGTGTAAACAAATGTTGGTGGATTTTGATGCGAGAGGACAACAGTTGATTTTTAAGTGTTATGGATTAGAGACTCATATTTTGGCCAGAAGCAATGGTTTAAAGTTAAAATGTCTTAATAATGGATTTATTCATTACAAACATGCAGTTTTCACTTCACAAGATGTTCATTGATGGACTGGAGTCACGTGGATTACTTGTAGAATATTTATGTTTTTTATCAGCTGTTTGGACTCTCATTCTGACGGCACCCATTCACTGCAGAGGATTCATTAGTGAGCAAATAATATAATGTCAAATTTCTCTAAATCTGTTCCAATGAAGAAACAAACTCATCTATATATTGGATAGCCTGAGGGTGAGTACTTTTTCAGCAAATTAAAATTTTTGGGTGAACTATTCTTTTAATGAAGCAAAATTGCAGATGTTTGTCAGTGTATGTATAACAAAAGCGGGGACACATGCATTTTTTGTAGTAGACTAGTACATTTATTTCCACTTGGATGTGTGATCCCTCATCTATTAATTAGATTTCATGACAATTAAGTTTGTTGTACATAGTTCTCAATGGCCCACTCCCAAAATCCATTTATGGTTTAAATTGTGAGATATACTTTATTTTAAATATCCAGAAATCACATTATTTTCATATACAGCCCCAAAATCCAATAAAAGATATTTACATGGACAAATGCAGTGTTCAAGTTAAATTGAAAATGAGGTTAATGAATTGTACAGTAAATTCATTATTGAACTGTAAATGATGATTGATACAGTATACTGATGGAAAAGTATGTTTCACAGCTGATGATTCTGTATGTCCTCTCACTCATTCACACTGACAAGCATCACAGCATACGTCTAAAGAGGGATACTGCAATTGTAAATTCACTTAGTGTTTGAAATTTCCCCATCTTTCCCCTTTGAGCATTAACTGCCCAGAAGCAATCCCGATGCCCAGAAGTGATCGCCCTTGGTTATTACTGATTTCCTGTGAATGTGCAGATACTGTGATTCTATCTACAACACCATCTCACGTTACACATGACAGCAGAAATGATTTCTCATGTGAGAAGATTCTGCTATTAAACAACCTGCCACTTTTGCTTTAGAAATTGAAAATAGGCATTTTGTCGTTTGTTTGTATTCTTAAGTTAGTCGTATCTTAGACACTTAACCAAAAGTCTGTTTTCCACAATATTTTTAATAGTTATTATTCAAAGGCTAATTTATAATTAATACTACAAAAAGTTAAATATTTTTGGAATATACATCTGAGAGATCTCATTTATGATTTTTCTACTACTGTTCACAAACATTGGCTCTCTTTTCAGATCCTGACAGAGCTATTTTGTTTTGAACAAACACATCTAATTGCATTTATTAAGTGCTAATTGGTTACTTTACTTGCTGAATTAGTTACTATTGGAATGAAATAATTCCATTCCAGTCAGTTGTGCTAACTAACAGCACTTAATTGGCATGACATTAAACAGTAAGTGTTTGAAAGATAAGATAGCACATTTAATTTTCTGCTAAATTGCATTTCATTGTTCTGTCAGAGCAGGTGTGAGGACAGTAGTGGAGTAGTTCATGGGGCTGAATAAATTACTGTGACTTTTTTAAAAGTCTAAATTAGTTGCCATGCATGAAATCACATCAGCTATGTGGTTTTATCTTTATTCATAAAGCACTTCCTGTAACTGAACATAAGACAATTTTATACACTATTTAAGAAAACCTACCTTGGTTTTAGGGTCCAATATCTTCACACCATATATAGAGATCTGAAGCTCCACTTTAGGAGTTTTCTGCCCCTCTGACTTCTTGATGTGCTTTTGAAACTAAGGAAGCAGAAGTGATTCAGCACACACTGGGCAAATGCATACTATCAAGGGAAAAGCAGATAGAGCCGGAGGTGTTCACCATTTTTTAAAGGCTGCTGGAGAGCAGTAGAGCATCAGGTGAAATGAGGTGCTCAAACACGTCTCTAGAGCAATGCACTGACCTGCAGAAAGTCCAAGCTGGACATAAATTGGGCGAAAGAAATGTCACCCAGGAAAATGACATTTTTATTGTGCCCTTAATCTGTCCCCTAAAAATCCCACCATGAATGAGTCACAGCTTTATTTCAGTCTCATTAACAGTTTTAGTTATAAGCAGAGACCTGTGCAATGAGTGTTTGGTGCCGTTATTAAAAAACAACACAGATGTTTCACAACGATATTTGTTTTCTAAAGGAAATGTGAGTTTGCCAATGTTAGGGTTGCACTGCAAAGTTGTTCATCAGCCAAAAAAAGCCACCTAAAATCTCTAAAGGTGCATCCCAAATCATGTACTTATGCACTATTCTATGCCACTATGTACTATAGTATAAATAGAGCGATTAGTGTATTCCCACAGAAAATTCCAAAAAGAAAAAAGTGCACTTTAAATACCAGGATGGTGCACTTAATTACTCAATAGCAGACAAAGGAATATTGGAGAACACAGGTTTTAAATACTGGGAACGTAATCAGGGAGAAACAGAAACAGGTGTGGAGCCAACTAATCAAAAACCATGGAAACAAACAAGGCAGGAGAAAGGAAACACAGAAAACTAAACCAAAACAGATCATAACCATAACAGTTCGCCCCCTCCTGGAACGGCACATCCTCGTGCCGACAAAAGTCCAACTGAGGAGGGAGGGAGGGAGGGTGGAGGTTCAGGAGGTGGGCAAGGGGCAGGCAATGGAAAGGGAGCATAGTTCATCGTGCCAGGGCGGAGTGGATGGAGGGAGGAGCAGGAGGAGCCAGATGGCAATCCAGAGGCCAGCCAGGATAGCGGCCCACGGTGGAGTCGACGGCGGGAGGAGCCATGGTGGAGCTATGGCTGACCCCACCAGGGGGCCGACTGACGGAGACTGGGCTGATGGAAGAGGAGCCCATGATGGAGCAGAGCAGACAGAGAGCCAGGGTGATACTGAGGATCCGGAGGGCCAAGGCGGAGCTGAAGGCTCAGGCGACCGAGGCAGAGGCAGGGCTCCGGAAGACCGCTGCGGAGCCGGAGCGACTGAGGATGGAGGCAGAGCCGTAATCAAAAACCATGGAAACAAACAAGGCAGGAGAAAGGAAACACAGAAAACTAAACCAAAACAGATCATAACCATAACAGTTGGACACTTCATGCACTCAACTACATAATTAATACACTAAATGGAAGAGTACATAGTGCATAGAGCATAATTTTGGATGCAACTTACTGTATGATATTATTGTTCCTGAATATGGCTTGGGTCCGTGATTCAATTAAAGTCTATGGAATTTTGTTTTTTTTTATTGTTCACTAGGTGAAAATCATAAGCAGATCACTTAGAAAAATAATAGTACACCAACTCTAAACAGGTTAGTGTGGTATTTAGAGTTTTAATGTCAGTGATAGTATAAATGATTACTGAAGACAAATGGTCAAGTAAAATATAACAATAAAATACAGAATATTAATTTATAATAATTAGATATGAATAAATTAAGAATCACTATTCAATTATTAATCATTTCATTTTTTTTTTACCAATTTAATAAAGATATAAATTATTGTTTTACCTACCAGCTTTTGCCTTGTGTTATCTGGCACTCACATAAAATTGAAATGCAGCTTGAGCCTGTTATATGAGCTTTGGAAGTAAACTTGGCCTTTTAAAATGTCTGTATATTTATATTTAATTATCACAGCAGTTTCTGCCCCATAAACAGGCAAGAAGAACCGTGAGCACGTTTTATAGCCCCCGGAGGGACGAGGGAGCCTGGTGGAGCTGGTGGGATGACGGGCCATGGTGGAGACGAGGGAGCTATGAGCCTAGGCGGAGCCGATGGGTCGAAGGACCGAGGTGGAGTCCAGGGCTCAGAGGCTGGAGAAGGAGACAGGGAATCCTCACACCTCAAGGCGGAGCTGGAGACTGGAGGTCCCTAGGCGATTCCGAGTGCCCCGATGGCGCTGACTGAGGGTGAGCTGAGGGACTGACAGGCACCAGTGGAGATGGGGCTGAGGAACTGACTGGTCCTTTAAGAGGAGGCGGGAGAGGGAGGCTGGGAGGGGACACTGGAGGACAGGAGCTGGACGGAACCAGCGGAGACGTAGGAGAACTGGGTAATGCCTCCCCAAACCAGTCTATTAAATCCACTTTGAAACAGTCCATTAGTTCCTCAATGTAGTCCAGTGACCCTCAGCGGCGGGAGTGTGGGCAGGGCTTCCCTCTAAGCCCTCGATCTCCACCAGCACTCCCTCGGGGATGGGAGATGTTGCTGGCTCACCTGGTCAGAACGGTCTTGAGGCTCATGCTCCTGGGCGACGATCGGCTCAGTCGTGGTTTTGCACGCTGGCTCTCGTGTCGCGGTGGGCTCAGGCTCTTGCTCCGTGCAGCGGGATGACGGCTGGCTGGTCTCTGGTT